GTGGCAAGTTTGGGGGCAAATGGGGTGGTAAATTCGGAGTTAAAGGTGGCAAGTTTGGGGGAAAATGGGGTGGTAAAGGTGGCAAGTTTGGGGGAAAATGGGGTGGCAAATTCGGAGGTAAAGGTAAATTTGGTGGCAGGTTTGGAGCCAAAGGTGGAGGTGGGAGTTTCAAAGTAGGGGGCGGGAGTTTCAAGGTAGGAGGGGGTGCAGGAGGAGGCGGGCAAGGGTCATGGAGTAGCAGTAGTAAGTCAGGGGGGTCGTGGAGCAGTGGTAGTAGTGGGGGTTCTACCTCTTGGTCTGTGAGTGGTGGGGGTAAGAATAAACAAGGTGATACTCAGAGTGGGAATGGTGGTCCTCCTGGTGGTACAAATAATAAAGGTAACAGTGTGTCTGGCAGCGCCACCACAGGAGTGGGTGGTCAGGATTATGGTGGTAGGACAGATGGTGGTAGGATAGATGGTGGCAAGGGTGGTGTTGCTGAAGTGACCAGTAAGATTGATGGTAATCACGCTGGTGTTGGTGGTAATGGTGAAGATGGCGAGGCTCTCAGTGATAAACTGGCACATGATGGTACCAACAATAACCAACTAAATGACGACGGTAATAAACAAGAGAAGACGACGAACGACGATCCAACTGGTACCATTCCTGCCGGCACGAATACCGAAGCAAAAACGGACAGTACTGGCGGTCATCGAGGTAAGGGAGAGCTTTGGAAGTGGGGCAAGAAGAACACCGTCGGAGAAAACCACATCGAACATTCAAAACTGTACAAATATGACAATCCCGAGAAGGATAATGGACTAAATAAATCGTTTAAAAAGGAAATTAATGCACTGAAGAAAAACGTTCAAAAAACGTATCGAACAATAGAAACGTGAAAGCGATAAGAACAAAATTAGATATTAAAGTTTCGTGAGTATTTTACAACAGATAGATAACTTGTAAACATCATCCGTCAAGATTTTTAATATGGAGAAGTTAAACCTTGGTAAACGAAGTTTAAACTTTAAAATAGAGAGTAAGAAATGTATATAAGTATTTTTAATAAAATAATCATTATATTAAGCAAGCCTTTAGCCCGCTAAACAACTAGTCTGTGACGTGTAATTGCTTTATATCTTTATATATTTTCAATTAATATTCTTCGCATTAAACCCAGTACTTAGTTATCTTTAGATGACGTGTATCGATATGGCGTTTTTGAAGCCGTTATATAAACAAGATGGAAATGGGTATTTTATTAAATAACTCTCTCCCGCTACATGTTACAGTTTTGAAATCTAGCAAAGTATTAATATAGTATATTATAAATACATTTGCGCAATTATATTTCCTCTAGAACTGTTATTTAATCAACCTTTTCGATCCCAATTCACAAATGAAACCCATGGTGGATTGCAACTGATATAATAATCCAAGAACCTGCACTAAACCTGTCAATCTCAACAAACTTTGCAAACTTTACATTTTTTCAAGTCAAGAAACTGCCAATGTCGAAATAAATTTTGGTAAGTATGAAATCATAACCAGAGTAGAACAAGTGCGGACATGATTTTACAATTTTTAACATCAACATGAATTGGGTCTTGTCCTTTTCGTGCATAAGAGAAAGTGGTAACTCTTCGACGATCATCTTAGATTTCTAATTACCTTTCACAAAGATCATTACAGGTATTATTTCTACTTTTAAATGCTGGCGCCGTGATTGCATTTTTACAATTGTTTTTATTATAAAAACGTTTTTACACATGGAGTCCAGTTTACATATCTTCTTTGGAACCGTGTAAAATTAACATTAAATATATGCATACATACATACAGACACCGGACTGTTAATAACTGGATTACAACAAACACGACTAATTTTTATATTTTGGTGTATAAAACTCTTAACAATGGATAAACTACATGTTGGGAATTGTTACATCTTTGATAAAATAAATTGGTTAAACCTTTAATAAATTATTCTGACTGGCTTATGTATGACCTGTTTAACGAAAATACTTTTTGAAGGATATACGAATTCAAATTTCTTAAAATGCATGTAGTCATTGGGTAGACTGTCTGCAAGCCTCAATTCTTATGCTATGAATATTGTTTCCGCACCTAATAAGATCCTTCCCAAAATTCAGGCTGAACATTTTAATAACAAATTTTAGCCTTGTGCAATAAGCAATTAACCCGATAGGTCTTATATACAAGGTTTGGTTAACGCTTATGAACTTGCCCACTGTGTAAAGCACATCGAAACCTGCCTTTTTCGACTAAAATATTCATTTTCCGTTACTCATGGATTTCATTTTAGGATTCCCAAACGTTTTCCACATGTTGCCAAAGAAGCTAGCGGTGATCATTTTTACTTTTTCGTTGCTCTATAAAGGTACGAAATTTGATAACTTTTGCAACGAGAAATTACACCAATCATAGAGTATGTTTTAGATGTAATATACTTTACACGAGTCCAACAGAATGTTCTACAGACATCGTTTAACAGGCACTAGGTTCGTTCGAGTTTAACGGAGTCTCTCTTATCTAGGTAGCACCAAGAGTGATGAAATTAACAACGACTATCTAAGTCCTGAGACGATCCTTCTTAACGATGAGAATGAAAACGAGGATGTACTAAACGACCCTGTTGATACAGTGTTACGCCTCACAGGCGAAGAAAAATCTCCGATTGACCCAGACTACGTTAAAGAATATCAGATGGGGAACGACCCACATGTGCGCTCCTGGAATGGTAACAGTTGGAGCAGTTCGAGCAAATGGGGTGGGAACTCTGCTGGCAACAACTTGGGTGGGAACATGGGTGGCAGTCGGGGTGGTAATTCCGGAGGCCAGTGGGGTGGCGGTGGGCATACCTCTACTGGAAGTTATGGAGGTGCGGGAAATTGGAAAATGAAGGGGTCTGGTGGGGCCTCAGGAGGAAGAGCTGGGGGTAATAGTGGTGGGTCAAATGGCAGCTTTGGAATGAAATATGGCATGGGTGGTAGTAAAAGTGGCAACTCTGGAATGAAATATGGCATGGGTGGTGGGTCAAGTGGCAACTCTGGAATGAAATATGGCATGGGTGGTGGTAAAAGTAGCAACTCTGGAATGAAATATGGCATGGGTGGTGGGTCAAGTGGCAACTCTGGAATGAAATATGGCATGGGTGGTGGTAAAAGTGGCAACTCTGGAATGAAGTATGGCATGGGTGGTGGGTCAAGTGGCAGCTTTGGAATGAAATATGGCATGGGTGGTGGTAAAAGTGGCAGATTTGGAATGAAATATGGCATGGGTGGTGGTAAAAGTGGCAACTCTAGAATGAAATATGGCATGGGTGGTGGTAAAAGTGGCAACTTTGGAATGAAATATGGCATGGGTGGTGGTAAAAGTGGCAACTCTAGAATGAAATATGGCATGGGTGGTGGTAAAAGTGGCAACTCTGGAATGAAATATGGCATGGGTGGTGGGTCAAGTGGCAGCTTTGGAATGAAATATGGCATGGGTGGTGGTAAAAGTGGCAACTTTGGCGGAATGAATGTTGGATTGAGTGGAGGTAAAGGACAAGGGTTTGGTGGGGGGTTGGGGAGTAGTAGCGGTGGTCACAGTGGTGGTATTAGTGTTGGGTTTGGTGGGGGTAATGCAATGGGATCGCAATTGGGAGGTGGACAAGGAAGCGGAAGTGGAAAAAGTGGATGCATCGCAGAAGATGGTAAGTCAGTAGTCACTAAGTGGAAGACTATTACTTAAATTATAACCAAAATTTCGTTTTACAATACGACAGGACAAACTATCATTTTGAACATAGAAACTCGAACACTAAGTAATTGGTAAGATTTGAAACCACTCGTACTCGAAAATAAGATCCTGAACAGATCCGAGCTACCTGACTAGCATTGACTAAATGTGTGCATCTTTTGATTCGACCAAACACGGCAGATTTTCTCTGCCAATAATTTAAGATGGCCCTAACTTAGGCTACGTTTACATTATACCGGATAGCTTTCTGTAGCGGCGCGAAAAAACACTTATCCCATACGGAATGTACAACTTTCATAAGCTGAGGGAAACAACATCTCTAGGCAAAACAGTCAAGACAGAACTGATAGTATAAATAAAGTTAGCTTCGATACGATTTGCGCTTGGGTCAGTAAAGGGTCTAACCGCGGACCTCCAGAAAGAGTAGTTTACAAAGAACCGATAGAGCTATTCAGTAGAAATCAGTTCATCATTCTTATTCAAAAATACTTCGCCATTTAAGGTGGATGGTTTGTGATCCGTCACTCGTCAGGCAAATGTGTGTTACCCAACGATGGGTCGACGAAAGCTGGCACGAAAATTGTTCTTGGTACGAGTGACTGCAAAAATCAGATCTATGTATTCGTCTGGACTGCCAAACAGTCGATAAAACACGTTATCAGTGGAATGTGTGTAAGTTTGGAAGGTGAAAACCTTGTACTGAAAAAAGGCTGTGATGGGGGTCCCAACACACAGTTTCAGTACATAGCAGCAAAAAAGCGGTTGATGTCCTCAGGAAAAACTGTGCAAGCTACTCAAGATGGGGACAACATAGCAGGGATGATGTTAGCAGCGACAGAAAGTGCCTCCAGCGGTGCTGAGACAATGTTTACCTTTGAAAGTAAGTAGCTGAAGGTTAACAATTAGCAAGTTAGGATAAAACGAGTCTGAGGTCCTGAATTAAGTGACTGTAAGTCGTATCAGTCTTGCAAAACGACAAGGAAGTAGAGCGGACACTTGCAAGTAAGAGGCTTCTTAATTGCTTTTCATTTCTGACATCGTGGATTCCATTCTCGCTCTAGAAAAGAGTCAGTTAACTTTCTGTCGAAACATGTAGTCCAGTTTCCTACAACAAAGAATGTTGACCGTGTAGGTTTGGATACATGGAAGTGGTTCAAATATAATTTCGTCATAACATTGTATTCATTTCTTTTCTACAGGCGCCATGAAGATGAACATTAAATTTTCTTTCACTTTCGGAATGTCAGGTAAGATTGAACATATTGTTCAAAACTTAATTATTATGTTTTGTTGTTTTCATCTTACTGAGACGGTTTGTCTTTTCTCTTTTAGGAGGAGGCGGGCTTGGTGGTGGAGGTGGACTTGGTGGTGGTGGTGGTGGAGGTGGGCTTAGTGGTGGTGGTGGACTTGGAGCTGGAGGTATGAATGGAGGATTTTCTGGGAGTGTGAGTGGAGGGGGTCCAATTGAGGGAGGGGCAGGTGGTCGAATGAGTGGTGCAGGTGGAACAGGTATGTTTGTAATCCGGCATCAAGCATCTGGAATGTGTCTTTACCCAAAAGGAGGCAAAAAACGCAAAAAACGCAACGTAGCGCTGGTACTAGACGAGAAATGCAACGATCCTAAAGCAGTATTTCAGTTCAGCAGCAAGATGTCGATAGAATCTGTGGCTTTATCGGGATATTACCTTTTTGTGAGGAGAGGTACTTTGAAATTGCACAAATCTAGCTTGAAGAAGAGCAAGTTGTTTAGCTTGAACGCAGTAACAATGGCATTTACATATAACGGGAAGTATGTACAACCGAAACAAACGGAGGTTGCAGCTGGGACGATGCTTGCTGTAAGAAAAGGAACATTTCAATCTTGGATGGCTTTCCAAATGTTAGGTAAGGAATATAATTAATTATACGTACGCCGTTGCTAATTAATAAAAATATTACGGTGCCTGCTTCCCGAAGAGAACTTTAGACACTTTAAGAATTCCTTCCTTGCATGCATACGATCCACTGTATTTGATGGATTTGACTAAGTGGAACAGTGCAGATCAACTCCAAAGTTGGCTAGTTTACACTATCAAAGTTTCTATCACAGTAGGAATTTTTCATAGGTAAATTTTCGAAGATATCTTGGAGGGAACTGACTCACTGTTTAACACTGAGTGAGTTCCCTCAAACATTTCTTACAAATCCTTCAAAACTTAGAATTTACCAAAAATTCCTACTATGATCACAGAAACTTTGACCGTGTAAACCAGGCTTTACTGGAGTGACCATACCGTGCAAAACACTACATGCAAGTGAAATCCATCTATCATGGGCACTTCTGTGTTTTTAGTGGCTACTGCCTCAGGTGGTATGAATGGTAACGGATTCGACTTCTTCGGTACAACGTCAGCCGGAACTTCGGGAGAAATGTCAGGTGGAATGTCAGGCGGAATGTCAGGCGGAATGTCAGGCGGAATGTCGGGCGGAATGTCGGGAGGAATGTCGGGTGGAACGTATGGCGCGGGTAAGTTATTTCTATTGCCTTTTTATGATAGGCACATTTTTTCCGACTAAGACAATACAACGGAACACTTCCTATTGTTCGACTTTCAATGATAAATATTATAAAGAAAACTTCATTTTAAACGTGGTGTCAGTGCCAGAGTGGTTAGTGCATGTTCTTTTCACCGTTACCGATTCCAGCAATATGTTCAATATTAATTTCACCTCACTCGAATGTGAGAAGAGTACTTCCAGTTTGACTCAACCACACACCAAAAGTTTTCTCCGATTTCCTCCCCCTGCTAGACAAATGAGGGATAGCTATTACTGAACCTCTATGAAGAACAGTTTAGAACTGATAGAGCTATCCAGTACAAGTAAAGGTAATATATTTTAAAATCATTAATTCATTAGTCACATCATCAATTCTTTGCGTCTTAATTTCTACAGGGGTACCCTTTGTGATAAAACACTCTCAAACAGGATTATGTTTCTATCCAAAAGGCGGCAAAAGAGCAGCCGATGTCCAAATAGTGTTAGCAAGGAAATGCGACGACCGTAAAGCAATGTTCGCGTGGACTAAACGGCAGACATTGAAATCAGTAGCTTTTAAAGGGTTCTGCCTTCATCCCAAGAAAGGCAGTTCGAACCCAGACGATGGCACGGAATTGGTCATATTTAAGGAGTGTAGGGGCAAGCGGCTTAAGTTTACTTATGACGCGAACACCATGAGCTTAAAACAAAAGATGTCTGGGAAATACATCAAGCCAGAAACTCAAGATGTGGCGGAAGGAACTGGTCTTGTCGTAGGTAGTGAGGCAAGTGTTGGCGCTTGGATGCAGTTTAAATTCATTGGTAGGTAATTATGCTAATTTTACACTAACTTTATACTGGATAGCTCTATTAGTCCAAAACAGTTCCTCCTAGAGGTCCAGCAAGCCACATTAATCCAGTATTACTACAGGAGGGGGAATTAACTTGCGGTATTTGGTTAAAAACTGGAAAAACTCCTCTGAACTGCATCTGAGATTAAACTACAACAAAGATCTGCACACCGCAGAACCCCGTGCATTCACACTATTCCACCAACACACCTGGCAATTATTACAATTATTTATCCTATGGTTTTATCTGTTTTAGCTGTTTCTGGTGCACAGTTTGGTGGAAAGGCTAATGGTGAAATGTCGGGAAGCAATCACAAAGGCCAGAAGGGTGGAAGGTTTGGGATGAATATTGGTGGAATGAATATCGGGGGACAGATGAGTGGAGGTTCTAGCGGTGGGAATGAGGGAAACTTCAACATGCAGTTTGGAAAAGGAAATGGTGGAAAAGGAAATGGTGGAAAAGGGGGTGGGGGTTCTTCCTCATGGGGAAGTAGTTGGAAATCAGGTGGTAATGGTGGTAACACGGGTCAGTTTGGAGGGAAAGGAGGTGGGGGCTTATCCAGTTCTTCCTCATGGGGAAATAGTTGGAAATCAGGTGGTCAGGGTGGTAACACGGGTCAGTTTGGAGGGAAAGGAGGTGGGGGCTTATCCAGTTCTTCTTCATGGGGAAGTAGTTGGAAATCAGGTGGTCATGGTGTTAAAGTTGATGATGGTATTTCACAGATTAATGGTAATGGAGGTGGTGTTATAACGGATGTTGATCACACCACCAGTGGCACAAGTTCCAAGGTGAATGATGGTGGGGGCAAAACGAATGGTAATTATGATGGTGGTGTTGTTAACGAACACGGTGGTGGCGATAGCCAGAATGTGGTAGGCAACAAGGGTGTTGGTTATGGTCGATACAGTAGTGCTGGTGATGCTAATGGTTTAGGCCCAAATCATAGCGATGGTACCACAGGTAGCGAGGATGGTAATGGTGATGCTAGTCTACATGGTGGAAATGAGGGTGGTGCTGGTACAAGTCTAGATGAAAATGTATTTCATCAAACTGGTGATGGTAATGGTGAAAGGAATGATGGTAGCCAGAATGTGGGTATGAATAGTGAGAATAGTGACAGAACAGATAGCAAGACAGATACAGAGAATGGTGAGGTTATCAATAATGGTCATCAAAGTGCAGGTAATACAGGAACTTCTATCCCTAACGTTGGTGCCAGTGTAGGTGGTGACATTGATGGTGGTAGCAGGTATGGTAAAAGACCTAGTACTCTGGGAGTAAACAGCATGGTTAGTAGTTCTGAAAAGGGTATAAATGATGAAACTAGTACCAGCAATGGTAATGGGATTAATGATGGTGGTTTTCAAAAAGGAAGTAAGAGTGGGGAGCTTACTGGTCACAATGGTGGTGAAAACATGGTAGGCAATTCTCAGAAAGGTAGTAGTAACGAAGTTAGGTTAAGTGATGGTAATAAGATGGATAAGAGCGGTAGTAACGATGATGGAATGGTCAGCAAAGGCACCAGTAGTACTAGTTTAAACAATGGTGGTGGTGAAATGACAAGTAAAGCCGGTAGTGGTAAACCACTGAGTCACACAGTTGAAAGTGAAGCAGGTCTTACCAGTACAGATGGTGTTAATTTGGATGATGTTGGTGGAATAAATTATGATGATGCAGGGTCTAGGCTGGGTGCTGGTGGGAATATGGCGAGAAATTCAAATGATGGTAATGTACAAGATGTTGCGCCCTTTGACCACCCAAGAGGTATGATGAATGTGGATGACAGTGGTAATCCTGATAGAATAAGACCAGATGGTGAAACTGTTGGTCGCAGCAGCAACAGTTATCCAGGGCCTCCTGGTACTTGGCTGTTGGGTAAGAAAAATAATATCTCGAGACATGATGATAGTAATAATGGATCAATGGGGATAAGACATGGGAACAGTAGTGGTACTCGTGGTCACAAAGAGTTATGGAAATGGAGTCAAAAAGACAATATCACCAGACACCATGGGATAGTTAATGATAGCGATGTTGGAGACAGCGAGGGTACCAGTGATCAACACGGAATTATGAACGGGCAGAAAAAAGATATTACAGTACATCATGGGATAGAAGGTGATAGACGTAGTAAAACATACCACGAACGAGGGAAGAAAGGTGGTAGCGGAGGTCACCATGAGAAAACTACGTGGGATACAAAGAACATGACAGTACATCAAACTAAACATTCTCACTTCAAGAAGAATGTTACACCTAAGGAAATTTCTGGATCAAAGGAGTCGCTTGGAAAGCCGAAAAAATCGAATAAACCCAAGAAAATAGTAAAGCAGCATTAAAAGAGAGAACTAAGAACAAAGCAGAGCCAAAAACTAATATCAACTTATATTGCTCTCTGATTAAATTGTATGATGTTAAATAATATTGTTTTATGTATATTGTATATGTTATAAACAATTTACAAATACGTTGGTGTGGTGCTAAAGATCTAAGGTTTTCCAAAACATCGTAATGTCATGAGCATGCAGAGACGCTACTCTGGCTTCCTCCACTTTATTTTTTCTCAAAACGGCGTATTCATTGTCTAAACAGTAATTCTTTGCTGAGAAGCTTCAACCGATCGCCATTTTTGGACACCATTAGGTTGTCTTTGGTATATTCACGAGCGATACTCCCGGCGAGAAGCGTAATCTTATGATGAAAATAAGAGCCCAGTACAATGATTCATGATTAATCCACTCTGGCATTCTTAGATTCACATTTAAACAACATTTAAATCCCATTCAAAAACTACTCAAATTCAGATCATGAAATTTAGTGTGAAGATAGCGAATGGTCCTGGGTATTTGTCCTGAAAGTTTGGTGAAGGTGAGGTATAAATTAGCTGAGATATAAGAGCTTGATTTTGCTAAATAATGAACATGTACATGCTTCAATGTCGGGTGTGCTCGCACTGATAAATTTTGATTTTCAATAAACATTCAAGATCGGCAAGTTGTTGGCTAACGGTTCACCGACACATTACAGATAAAATAATAAAAAAAATTTCTTCCATTCCTACATTTCTAATTTTCTATCTAAAATTTATTGTATTCTTTAAATTGTGATTGTTCAGAAGCAATATTCGCGTGTGTCCGACTATTCTCTCTAGTTCTTGGCGTCGGCTAAATCTAGCCAAAGCATGACAAGGAATCCTATAGTACTTTAGTTCCATAGGATCATGTACAATCCTACCTTACGCCAGCACCTTTACGATTGAATTCTTAATCCTCCACATGAAAGTATCTTCCTATCGTTCTAGTCTTTATGTGGTTTTTCTTCCTCCTCGTACGAAACGCCGTATTCATTCACACGCTTGACATCGACTGGATATAACCTACAAAAAATGCATTAAAACAAAATAATTTGAAAATGAGCAGTCGGTCTTAAAACGCCCATAGTTCCAGCCTCTATCAATTCCAAACTGTCGTCTCTACAGGATTAGTAAGGCCCATCTTTGTTGTTTGGCTATTACTACAGGAGGACAAAGTAGAATAGAACTGGAAGCGCTGTTCTCACACGTGACTGAGACAAAATTATGTTTATTGCAAGAATCAAAGTTTGCCCTGGTCACACTCACTGAATGAATGACACATCCGCTAAACACTGACGTGCAAAACATCGTTGCATAAGCAAAAAATAGAATGTCTCTGCAACTGCTTATTCCATCTGAACATTTCTGAAAAGGGAATGTTTACATTATCCCGCTTTGGCGAGGCGAGATGTGAGGCGGGATGATTTTGATGTATTGAAATAAGTCACGATGCACGATTCAGGAAAACTACATAATTTTTCTAGCGATGTATTATAGTACAATTGAAAAGGAAAGGTTGTTCAAGCAGCAATAATAATTTTCTAGAACTACAAGATCTTCCCTGCAACATTTGAGCCGTTGTGCGTTCGTTTAAGCCTAGTGACTTATTTCAATACATCAAAATCATCCGGCTATTCATTCCGGCCGACAAACCTGGATCATGTCAACAGCCTCTAACTGACGATTTTCCCGGACTTACCATCGTTGGTATAAAAATATAACGAACACAATGTCATCCCTAAAACACGCCAGTCTGTGAGCCGTTGGCATGGTGATTATGAACGCGAATACGTCATCAATAAAAGTATTAAACGCTTTATACATAAGCGCACGCCAGGGTAGATGAGCGACAGATTTCAGCTGAAAAAAAGAAAACAATGTTTTGGTACTTTTCGATAGTCTGAGTAACGATCTTTGGTCAAATTACTGTAAATGCCCATTTCCACTCAAGCGGGGATGGTGGCAATAGCCACAGGATGGCATTTTTCCGACGGAAAATTTGTGTCGGCCAATGGACCATTTGCAGTATAGACTAAATTTTGATCTAGACAAAAATTTCATCACAGCTTGAAAGAGCATCACAAAATTAGTAATATTCCAAAGTTTCGTTGCGAAATGTTGTAAAATGCGGATAATATAGCCTTGCGAAGTTTGCCGTTTTTCAGTCATTTTGTATTATGCACGGCAAATTGACAGCCCAATCGGATGTTGGGGCATCAATTTCCCGTTTGTAATACAAAATTACTGAAAATTGCGAATTTCGCAAGGCTATATTATCCGCATTTTACAACATTTCGCAACGAAACTTTGGAATATTACTAATTTTGTGATGCTCTTTTAAGCTGTGATGAAATTTTTGTCTAGATCAAAATTTAGTCTATTACATTTTACAAAACTTTCTTTCCGCGGAAAATTTTCTTGAGTGGAAATGGGCCTCAACGCGTCCGTCTACATACCTTGTAATTCACAAACAACTGAGGAAGCATAAAGATAAACCCGAAAACATAAACACCTGGAAAAATACCAGGATTCGCGTAAATTGTGAGAAGTCGAATCTCATTTGAACACGTCCAGTGCTCAGCAGGTGTGGGGGGCGCACCTCCCAGACGAATTTATAATTTATGGAATTGGTGACATAAGTTGTAGGCGGAAATATGCGGGGGGGGGGGGAGTGCGAGATTGGAGGAGCCCGGAAGGAACCTCTACCCATCATTGGTGCTCAAAGAATGAGACAAGCGTCAGCAGATCAGAGTGACAGAATCTTGAACAGTCTGTTGCCAGTGTAGAAAGAAAGCTTCGGACTGGATACATATTTGGGAAATTTCTCTAGATGAAGCAAGGAAAGAGCTTGATAATTTTGTGCTTTTCGAAGACATATCGTCTACATTTCTCTTTCGACACACTTTAAATAATTAATTGATTAAAATCATGTTATATACAAATAAAAAAGTTTTCAAAAATTATAAAGTTGGCGTAAAGTTGGATGCAACTACCTGAAAAATACAAGAAGAACTTCAACGATTCGAGCAAAGACCCTTCGTTGGGGAAGTTAGAGTTTCCATAATTTTGGGAAACTAAAGATGAAAATTATTAACAATGTCTTACCATTCACCAATGATCTGATAACCCACGAGTGCCAACTGTTAAAAAACAACAATCATGTATTAAAAAGGTCTGTGTAAAAACTTTGAGATCGTGAAATTTGTCACGTGACCCCTTCCTAGTTCCCAGGTCTGCAATGACTTAATTCAAATCTCAATTATTTGAGATGGTCTTACCTCTTATGAGGCTGGTAAATCAACGAATATAAAGCACCGATAACAACCAGAGGATATAAAGGATAAGATAAATATTTCATTGCCTAAATATCAACAAATAACAAGAAAATTAAGGATTAACCGTGGAAGAACAATAGAATAGATTAAAACATGAGACAACTGGGTAAGTAGGGTTACATTGAAAAAGTCACCTGTGAGTCAAATGCCTCTGTCTCTTTTTCTTGAGAGGTTTTCTCTCCGAACTGAAAGATAAAATCTATAGGTTAAGCAAAGTGCTGCATACTCGCACACTAATCTTCACTAAAACTGTACTTACCTGTAGTGTTGGGATTCGTCCACCATTCCATATTATAGTTATCTTCAAAGCTTTCGTGACTTTCCAGACCTAAACAAATCTATGTCGTTACTAAATGCATACGTAGCAATAAACTCCTACATCTACAATGTTTCTTATCTAGTAAGTGGCCATGGGGTTCCGTGGTTATCTACCGTACAATAATTACAATATTTATACCACAAAATAAAGTTCATACCTCAATAAGAGCACCAATGCCAGTTGGAATTAGGACTAACAAACTCGTTTTTTCATCCAGCAAATATAAAAACACAATCGCGGTGCTGACACATCTCCATAACACTAGAAAGAGTGTTGTAGGAAATATATAAGATATACAGTACATTCAAGAAGATAACTGACAAAAAAAATGCACAGCCTGTATACAAAACATTCTTCTCACCAGCTCTGGTGGAAAGGCCCACCATAGAAGATCGTTTTCTCCAGTACATGATGTCATTTTTAAATGCCAGAAAATCAAACAGCAACTAAAGAAAACACAAACAACAATTCATATGTCTTCAGTACCTGAAAATATTATGAAAGATACTTTGAGCAACGTCGCTTTCAGGAGGTTAGCAGCCAACATAAGTGGGAATAACCTGAGATGGAGTCGATGGACTACTGTCGGGGGGGGGGGGGGGTAGTTCGTAATTCATTCCAATGGTTTACTTTCCGCGCTTACGTGAAATAGAGCAATCCCAAAAGTGAGAGCAAGTAAGTAAAGATTTGTATCTGTAAATATCCCTTTCACTTCATCCAGATCCTTGTCAGAAAATCCTGAAAAATATCAAACTGTAGTATGACATCATGGAACAGGATCACATGATTGACGCAATGGTGACTGGACGCAAATTTGAAAACAATGAGACATGATCTGGGACTGAACAACAAAATATGGGACAGCTGTGGATTAAGAGGGATACAAGGACCTGAAAAATACAAGGAGAAATTCGACGTTTCGAGCAAAAGCGTTTCTTCAGCTACCAACTTCCGGATTCAGATCTGCTTGTATTTTTCAGGTACTGATTGTATTTAACTATTTATACAATAACGTTAAGAATTCAAGCACTTTCATTAGTCGAAAGTCATGATCTATTAAAGGGCAGACGTACGGAATTACATCACACGTGACGTAACTTAAGGTAGCCAATAGTATTCCCTTATTTGTATATATCATCTACGCGTGATATTTGTAAAATTCCGACTTTTTCAAATTTCTAAATGTATGGGTGGATAAAAGGCAAGCTATTTACCTGTTTAATTCGGGGTTTTTCTTTTTATTTTATAAAATAAATAGATAAGATTTTGCCGTTGTCTGAAATAGATAGACAGTATGACATCATAATGTGGGTAGAACAAAAAAGTGACCCTCGCCTCGGCGGCTCGAGAACTACTTTTATGTTTTTCCCATATTATGATTTATGACGTCAAACTGTGTATCTATATAGCTGAACAGACAACGACAAAATCTTATCTATTTGTTAACTCTCAATTGGCAGAGCTATCTTGTTAACATCGTTACACTGGAACAGACCATTCAATATTATACAACACAAATTTACCTAAACTCTTCATGGAGTCCATAGAAATGCATACGTGTCTCCAGATCCGCAACCTCCCAATCCCGATTGGAGCATATTCAATTTTCAGCTCCATTTCTCTTGTACTAGAGTTCACAGGCTGGAGAAAACACAATACTGGTTTAATAAAAACTCTGTTTGTAGCAGTTCGTGGTAATCTTCAACATATATGACAAAACATACGATTTCTAAAGTTTCCTGTTTTTCACACGAGCGTTATGATGCAAAATGCCGCCGAAATTAGTTCTGCCAATTTTCAAGTGACGTCCGTGTTCCCAGAAACGTCGCTTGCCTAAGCTCACTATTATGAAGAAAGGTTTACCTTCAAATTTCGTTCCAACATTTCAAGTTCATCAATATACAGGAGTGGGATGTATTTTCCATTTTGTGAGAACCTTGAAAATTATTATGCATGTGATGTTACTCTGAGTGAATATCCACACCGGGCAAGCTTGAAAAATATGCCTGACCACGGTGTGAACCTACGACCTTTGGAATATCAGTCCTTCTCACCGTGGTCAGGCATATTTTTCAAGTTTAATTGTCCGGTGTGGATATACACTCAGAGTAACATCACACGCATCATATTCACCTGAGTACATTACACCAACACAGAAAAAATCTTGAAAATTATTGCTGGACAGAAATTAACCCTATAAGCTTTCATTCTCAACTCATGCATCTTTGTAATCACATTAACTTTGACTAAACCCAGTAAACAAGTAGTTCATATACCTCAAAAGAGGGTAGATTTCTCCAGGAATGGCGTAGCGATCAAATGTGATTGAGTCTGTGAGAATGTGAAATGTCAATCGAGGTCTCCAGTGGGTGATAGGTTTGTCAGAGGATTCTTTATCAGCACTGCTCTATACAATATCAGGGAGGAAATTAATCCCATTTGTGGTTAAAGTTTACACCAGACTGTAGACGCAGTTGTCTTGGCCGCTTTGACTACGGGAAAAATGTCTTTTTATTTAAAAGAAATCTACGGTACAGCTTATCAATACAGCAAATTCGACTGGAAGGTGTCTTAAGTATACATTTGATGTAGTTGTGACAATGCTGTTCCAACAACTTGTCAGCAAGACGTCTCCTCAACAGCAGGCCTCGATAACATTTTTCGTGCCTGCGAGCGAAATTCAAAATGTGCCTGCAAAAACACATCTTATTTAGATTTTGAGATCTAAATATTTTTAAAATGTCAGTATTTTAAAATGTGCCTGCAAAAATGTAAAAGGTGCCTGCGAGCGGCGCTCGGACGCTCGCGCATTTTATCGATGCCTGCTCAACAGGCTTGTAGCAAGCTTGTTAACAAGTTGTGATATAATGCTGTTCCAACAACTTGTCGACAAGATTTTTCGCAACAGGTTTGTAGCAAGCTTGTTAACAAGTTGTGACAATGCTGTTCCAACAACTTGTTAACAAGATGTCTCCTCAAAAGGCTTGTAGCAAACTTGTTAACAAGTTGTGATATAATGCTGTTCCAACAACTAGTCAATTAACAAGATTTTTCGCAACAGGTTTGTAGCAAGCTTGTTAACAAGTTGTGACAATACTGTTCCAACAACTTGTCAACAAGATGTCTCCTCAAAAGGCTTGTAGCAAGCTTGTTAACAAGTTGTGATATAATGCTGTTCCAACAACTAGTCAATTAACAAGATTTTTCGCAACAGGTTTGTAGCAAGCTTGTTAACAAGTTGTGACAATACTGTTCCAACAACTTGTCAACAAGATGTCTCCTCAAAAGGCTTGTAGCAAGCTTGTTAACAAGTTGTGATATAATGCTGTTCCAACAACTAGTCAATTCAACAAGATTTTTCGCAACAGGTTTGTAGCAAGCTTGTTAACAAGTTGTGACAATGCTGTTCCAACAACTTGTTAACAAGATGTCTCCTCAAAAGGCTTGTAGCAAACTTGTTAACAAGTTGTGATATAATGCTGTTCCAACAACTTGTCAACAAGATTTTTCGCAACAGGTTTGTAGCAAGCTTGTTAAACAAGTTGTGACAATGCTGTTCCAACAACTTGTCAACAAGATGTCTCCTCAAAAGGCTTGTAGCAAGCTTGTTAACAAGTTGTGATATAATGCTGTTCCAACAACTTGTCAATTAACAAGATTTTTCGCAACAGGTTTGTAGCAAGCTTGTTAACAGGTTGTGACAATGCTGTTCCAACAACTTGTCAACAAGATGTCTCCTCAACAGGTTTGTAGCACGCTTGTTAACAAGTTGTGACAATGGCGTTCCAACAACATGTCAACAAGATTTTTCGCAACAGGTTTGTAGCAAGCTTGTTAACAAGTTGTGACAATGCTGTTCCAACAACTTGTTAACAAGATGTCTCCTCAAAAGGCTTGTAGCAAACTTGTTAACAAGTTGTGATATAATGCTGTTCCAACAACTTGTCAACAAGATTTTTCGCAACAGGTTTGTAGCAAGCTTGTTAAACAAGTTGTGACAATGCTGTTCCAACAACTTGTCAACAAGATGTCTCCTCAAAAGGCTTGTAGCAAGCTTGTTAACAAGTTGTGATATAATGCTGTTCCAACAACTTGTCAACAAGATTTTTCGCAACAGGTTTGTAGCAAGTTTGTTAACAAGTTGTGACAATGCTGTTCCAACAACTTGTCAACAAGATGTCTAACAGGCTTGTAGCAAGCTTGTTAACAAGTTGTGAGAATGCTGTTCCAACAACTTGTCAACAACTTGTCTCCTCAACAGGCTTGTAGCAAACTTGTTAACAAGTTGTGATATAATTCTCTTCCAACAACTTGTCAACAAGATGTCTCCTCAACAGCCTTGTAGCAAGCTTGTTAACAAGTTGTGATATAATGCTGTTACAACAACTTGTCAATTAACAAGATTTTTCGCAACAGGTTTGTAGCAAGCTTGTTAACAAGTTGTGACAATGCTGTTCCAACAACTTGTCAACAAGATGTCTCCTCAAAAGGCTTGTAGCAAGCTTGTTAACAAGTTGTGATATAATGCTGTTCCAACAACTTGTCAACAAGATTTTTCGCAACAGGTTTGTAGCAAGTTTGTTAACAAGTTGTGACAATGCTGTTCCAACAACTTGTCAACAAGATTTTTCGCAACAGGTTTGTAGCAAGCTTGTTAACAAGTGGTGAAAATGCTGTTCCAACAACTTGTCAACAAGATTTTGAGCAACAGGTTTGTAGCAAGCTTGTTACCAAGTTGTGACAATGCTGTTCCAACAACTCGTCAACAAGTTGTCTCGTCAACAGGCTTGTAGCAAGCTTTGTTTACAAGTTGTGATATAATGCTGTTCCAGCAACTTGTCAACAAGATTTTTCGCAACAGGTTTGTAGCAAGCTTGTTAACAAGTGGTGAAAATGCTGTTCCAACAACTTGTCAACAAGATTTTGAGCAACAGGTTTGTAGCAAGCTTGTTACCAAGTTGTGACAATGCTGTTCCAACAACTCGTCAACAAGTTGTCTCCTCAACAGGCTTGTAGCAAGCTTTGTTTACAAGTTGTGATATAATGCTGTTCCAGCAACTTGTCAACAAGATTTTTCGCAACAGGTTTGTAGCAAGCTTGTTAACAAGTTGTGATATAATGGTGTTCCAACAACTTGTCAACAAGATTTTTGGCAACAGGTTTGTAGCAAGCTTGTTAACAAGTTGTGATATAATGCTGTTCCAACAACTTGTCAACAAGATGTCTCGACAGGCACTATATTTACATTGAAATGGATGAATATCTACCAATCACATCTTTACCTTGTTGCTAGCTCCATCTTCTGACATCAAATTAAAATATTTGCTTGTTTCTACAATAAACTTGGTCAACGGTGCAACCAAGTATGAAGCTAGTTCATTATGAAGTGGCTGAGAACCACGAGGATAGAGGAATATGTGAACAAACAATGTTCCATTGTTACTTGTTGCTCGCGGAATACTTACATCAATGTTGCTGAAAAGTAATATAGTAAAATATGTTTCTCAAACTCTTTAAAAATGAATGAGTAAAATACAATTAAAGAAATCATATACTGTTAGTACCACATTGAGATACCATGGTAATTACTATGGAAAAACAATCTGATAGCTAAGTTTTACAAACTTAAAGGTTTTTTAAAGATGAAGTGGGCATTCTAACAATTTAAAGCAGCAAGGCAAATTAGAATGAAATAATAAGAACACAATTATTTTCTAACATTGACAAGTATTCTTCAGTATTAAAGCTTTCCTTTGTCCACAATGGCTCTAAACTGGACATTGGTTTCTCCTTTTTTGAAGTAAAAATTGAAATCTATTAAATACAAGAAAAAATGATAAATTGGTTATTAGTTTGCACGTTATATTACTCTTTATAGCTACACAAGTCTAAATGTTTCGTGATATATCACAGAGGAAATTTATAGTTGAGAGATTGGAAGATTCCACCTGAAAGTACTCTTCCCACATGTTGGGGTAAGCCCACTGTGCGGTCAGAGATTTGGAAAAATTTTGATGTTCTACTTCCTAGACCACCTCCCCCCCCCCTCCCCACACACATTATCGTCACCATAGGGGGCAATGTACAAGTCAACAGCCATATACCTCTTCCTACTGAAGAAAGTTCGAAACCTTTTGCCCCATGCTAATGCAATGTAATATTCAATCAACAGTGGATTTCACCACATCCCCCCACCAAGGATACACCAAATTTCCTCTGTGCAGGGGGTGGAGAATGGGAGAAGAGGGAGGGGGGAGAAGAGTGGGTGGAGGAGGGGGGGCAGGAATGTCTCAATCAACCAATTCTTAGCAAATATGTACACAAAGTATTTCGATGGTATATTATATTAAACAAACTATGAACGCAAGCACGACAATAATCAACTGTAATCCATACCGAGAATTTTTCATTGAACAAGTTCTTGTAGTAAGGTGAGATACACCTTCCCTTTCCTCCCTTGCATTTTGGCGGCTTAAAAAGCACGGAAATAACATACAGAGAATGCAAGACGTATGCCCCAAATAATACTAATATGATCGTGGTAACATTTACGTATTTCATTTTAAAATTCCTTTTATTTTTACACTTCTATAAATATTTTTTCTTTGTTCGAATTCATTCACGATGGGTAACAACCGCTGACCTTACCACAATGTTTGCGGGCGCATGTGTACGCGACCGCTGGTCAAAATAACCAAAGGCGCAAGTATTGCGCAATATCGAAAATTACCGCTAGAGCGAAAGGTTTGATCTGATTGGTCAATTATCCAGTGTTATGATTGGTCGAGTAGCTCAGCAAGCGTACAAAATGGCCGGAAAATTTGCAAGAAGTTCTTCTACACATGCTGGAAAAGTTGCTATAGTCACAGCTTCGACTGATGGGTAATGATTGACTGTTTATTTAACATATGAAAAACAATTCCTACATTCTTTGAATTTCATGAAAACGGGCAAATAAAAATTGACAATTGTACGATACGGTATATATACATTTTATGTAGTACTCTAGCTAGACCTAGTAATCGGTTGCCAAATAAGTTGAACTGAAAAAAATGTAGTTTAATTTTCATGCTCCTGTAAAGACTGTAAAGCATCTTGGGTTGGTGGATTTGGATTGATAGGTTTAAGAAGTTTAAAAGGCTGAACCCAAACTTACCAACCTAGGCAGCGGAGCCTTCATGCCTATTCTCGGTTCTACCATGATTGCCAATCTGCCAAACATTCTGTATAACCATCAACCAACTTTAACCATCCTGTAACTATCAAGCAACCACAACCAAGCAATGTTAATTGTTAAGGGAGATCACTATATGGCCTATATGTAGCAGTTTTCAAAGTGCACTTTACATTAGAAAAATATTGCCAGACCCTTGCCATTATTTAACCTTAGGATTGGTTATGAAATTGCTCGTCGTTTGGGCCATGATGGTGCCAAGGTGGTCATCAGTAGTCGGAAACAGCACAATGTTGACGAAACCTGCAGAAAACTTCAAAGTGAAGGTCTTGACGTGCTCGGCATGGTTTGTCATGTTGGCAAAAATGATGACCGCAAAAATCTAGTGAACAAGGTTATTATTAACTTTTAATTATAAAGTACCAAATGAATGTATGAAACAGGGCCCGCGGAGCGTATTAGAGAGTGGGGGGGCTAAATCATCAATAAAACCCCCAATTAATTAATTTAGAAAGTTTCATTTAGATTTCTATTTTAATAATTTTGGCTGTCAAAAAAAGTGGGGGGGCTAAAGCCCCCCCAGCCCCCCCGTCTCCGCGGTCCCTGTGAAACTGAATTAATGTATATTTAACTATTTTCCTTTATTTTACAACGTTTTGGAAACTAATTTATATATTCTATGTTCAGACTTTGGAAAAGTATGGTAAAATTGATATTTTGGTGTCAAATGCTGCAACCAATCCAATATATGGTGACACTTTGTCGGTAAGGGTAAATTATGGAACATTTGTTCCAATAATTATTAATTAGTGCCCCTGAAAAGTAGTTTATCTTCAATTTTATTCTTGATTATTTTCTTTATCATTCTGTAGGCATCAGAAAAGGCATGGGATAAAGTGAGCAAATTAGTTTATGAAATTTCTGCATTTACTCTTTCATTTTTCTCATCATTCCCATTAATTAAGCTGCATTGCACCTCAATGCACCCTGCTTTCCTATTTTACACTGTCTATAATGCTGACCCATCACATATTACCAATTTCACTCTGTTCTAAAAATTTATATCTTCGACCTCACTCACTATATTCACATAATACTGTGTTTAGATTTTTGACACCAATGTTAAGGCTACATTCCTATTAATAAAAGAAGTTGTGCCTCATATGAAAGAGCAAAAGTATGGAAAGACACATGTTGTATTGTGAAATTATTTCATTCACTCATATTGTCAAAAATCTTTATATTATTTGTATTGTTTTAAGGATCAAAGGAGCAATTACTGTGGTGGCCTCTATCGCTGGATTGAATCCATTCCCGGTAATATATATAAACAGTCTTGTTAAAAATTACCTAAAGCGATTTTATTGCACTATTCACCTCCTCTGATTCACGTCCGGACCAAAACAAAATGCATGTCTTTAATTATTATTCAATGAACATCACTGCTATCAACACTGCATGTATCTGCACGGACTAAAATATTACAACACTTACATAATACCTAAGCCTGATTCTGATCAGTTCTGCTGTATTCATTCTATAGGCCCTAGGAGTGTACTCTATAAGCAAGACTGCCCTTTTGGCTTTAACAAAAGTCCTGGCAAATGAATTAGGATCAGACGGCATTCGAGTGAACTCTATTGCACCTGGTATTATCAAGACACATTTCAGCAAAGCGGTAAGATGGTAAAATGTTCTAAGATTTTGCCTCTTAACTTGACAAAACAATGAGTAATTGGATAGCATGGAGAACAGCGAGATTTCCAAAACAATGAAAAGACAATGGAACATTTCGATCACTGGGTCGTAACTGGATGACGTTATGCGTTAAGGCCCATTATCTCTAAAAGATGGAATATTTCATACAATTACTGTAAAACATTACTTTTTTCATGGCTATGGTATAGATTTGGGAAAACGAATCTGTTCAACAGGAATTACTTCGTGATACTGCCTTAAAAAGGTATGAAACTCTACTATACTACTTTGACTATATAACTTGTCAAACGAACCAGTTTTTTAACAAATCCAATTCGAAATTATTGACAGTTTTTATGGACAATTTATGGACGTATATTACCGTGGTATCAAGCTTAAGACAACAACCAGTACCGTACAGTGCTGATTTCCAATGCCTTATCTGTAAAAAATGTATTTCAACTGCCAATCTGTGATTTTTGTCTCTTTAGGATCGGTACTCCAGAAGAATGCGCTGGCCTAGTATCTTTCCTATCCTCTGACGATGCTTCGTACATCACTGGAGAAAATATTGTTGTTAGCGGTGGCACTCCGTCCAGACTTTAATAACATCAAATTTATTGTGATAAACTATCTTGATTAAGAAATGGAACAATATCAGACTGAATGATTGGTGCCAACGCAGGTCTCAGACTTAGTTGAAGCTTAAACAAAACCAAATTTATTGGAACTATCTAGATGTAATGTTACATTTTCAAATGACTTCAAATATATTTTCATTCTTATACAAAAGAAGTAAAATATACAGTGTTGTTGGTTAAGCCTCCTAGTGGAGTGACTATGGTCAAGTATACACAAAGCATGTTCTGTTAGATAAAGTACAGTTTTAAATTTTTCCTTATAAAATGGACACCTTTGGGACCTTGCAGAAGTATCTGCCCATAACCCCTTGGCTTAAATGAAGTGACATGTTCATTTATAGGGGCTTGATTGTAATACAACAATGTGGCACACCTCACTTGAAGCATACCCTAATAAAGTATGCTAATGGCGTTTCTAGGCTAGTTTCTACACAGTAATGAACACTATGCACACTGAATTTCCATGAAAAATAGAAATTTAATGTTTTATTAACAATTAAAATAATCTATGAACTGTTCAGCCAACCATGAGCCTTTTTCGTCCTCGCAACCGAACTTCATCCAACTTCGTCAAAACTTCTTTGGCTTTCTCTGAGCTTTCAGTTGCCACAACATAACTCTGTAAAACCGTCTGAAAGAATTGTTCCGTGTTTGGGTGGCTGCTAAGCAACGCCCGTTCAAGTACGTACAGGTCGACACCCTTGTCTTCAACGAGGGATGATATATAGCTCAGACCAAAGTCAATAAGTACAATGTCTTGTCCGTCACGTAGGAGCATATTTGATGTGGTCAAATCACCATGGATCACATCAATGGCGTGCATCTTGCCCAACATGGCGCCAAGTTTTTTGGCTAACAAGTCTAAGTCCGTATCTGAATCTTGCCCGAACTTTGAGTTAATAACATCTTTTATTGGCTCAGCATTCTGAACGTTTTCCATGTATATTTTGTGAGTGGTATAGTCCACAAAATACACTACAGGGGTTGAAATACCAGCCTTCCTACACCTTGCCATTGAACGGACTTCTTGTGATGTGCGGCGGTGTGTGAGTTTCTCATCTAAAACAGGATGCCTGTATGTTTTCTTAAATCTTTCTTTCACTATAACTGGTTTAGAAATGAGTGTAGAAGAATATATTTTGGCTTCCGCTCCTTGTTGAAAAAGCACGTTTTCAGCGGCCATCTTGTTTTTTTGTGCTTCCACAAACGAATGTCAGAAATTCTTTCTAAAATTTACCTACATTTTTTTTTTACATTTTTCTTAACATTCCCTTTTAGTTAAAACTTTTACATTTCAGCGAATTTAGGGCCGATTTGAGATGCACTTTCATGATATTTGAAAAGTTTTGGGTAAACGTCATCGACAGATGACAATATTCATCCTTAACATTCAGCAAAAACCTGATATTGGCCCGACAAACTGCAGTGTATATTAAAAATTCGTAGCTTAAATTTCTTTAAGAACTTTCCCCAAAGTGGAAACACACTATATTTTAACAACCAATACTTCTTGCAAAAGTGGACGTTTGTTGCTTCAGAAATACAGAAATAAAATCAAAAGTTTGGTATGTATTCGACGTAGACTTTATATTTTGGTTTTGATTTTAGTTACAGTTCATATTAAAATGTGTAAAATGATGCTATATAAAAGCCTGTGTTTGATGCGGTGCCTTTCTACAGAGTCACTGAGATATGAAGTGTATATATTCATTTTTTTTTAATATTATATTGTATTGTAGAGTGTTTTAGGTTACATGGAAACATATAATAACTTTTTCTCTTGCTACCTTTCTAGTTGAAGCTGTTTTAACTTCATCAGCAATGGTTTTAGTTCAACAAGTTACCAAAAATGCAAAGGCAATGGTTCCATTTTTAAAACCTATATGGGCATTTGGTATTGCATTCTCTGTCACTGGATACCTTATATGGAAATTACCTATAACAGGTGGGACATCAGATGGAAATGCTGACAGGAATGAGTTCCACCAATATTAGCGAAAGCCAGCCATAATAATGAGGTCACCCATATTAATGAGGGCCACATTATGTAGTAATGAGGGACACCCAATGTTAATGAGGGTTAGCCAGTGTTAATCGGCATCACCAATTTAACAAAACTTACATTAACAAGGTTCATACATTTTAACCAAGGGCCACCCATATTAATGAGTACGATGCATATTAATGAGGGTCATGCATATTAATGAGGCCATGCATATTAATATTGTTTGTTAAGTGATTTCCTCATTAAATATGGTTATTCAGAATTCACAAACCCTATTAATGAATGCTAATGTTTTCTTTTTTCCTTTTCTGTAGAAGAAACAAAAGCAAATTCCAGTAAGTCACTTTTTAAAGGATTGTCCATGATTATTGACATTTTCACAAACATAGAAGGAGTACTCTCTTTTTGAACACTTACCCCCAGAGAGTACTCTTAATTAAATGTTGATCCTCGGGAATGAAGTCTAACATGAGATCAGTGCTGCAAACATTGACTAACATTGTATATTTCTCCATGTCATTTAGAATATTATAATCCTGGTCATGATCAGCATTAAAGTTTTAATATAAAGTCGGGAATTTTGCTGCCATCTGGAATTTTGTAAAGTTAATTTATCAAAAGAAAAGAATGTGACTTTGAGCTTTACTTATTTGTAATCTAAAGTATTTTGTTTGGAAATAAAGAAAAAAATATATTTGACAGTTTTTGTTGTTAATCTTTTTTGCAACATACCCTGGTTCCAGAGGCTCTTTGCGAGGCGAAAGAAACGAGAGGCGAAAGAAACGAGAGGCGAAATAAACGAGAGGCGAGAAGGAAGAGCCATTGGTCACATCGGTTGCAAATCCCACTTCCACACTAGATTAGGTTCAGAATTTGAATCTCGCATGTGATTGGCCATTTGTAAAAATATGTCAAACTGGTTTGGGAAATAAACATTACTGTATAAAGCTAATTATAGCTAAGAGGTTCCTCTCTTGGCCCTTCAGCCTCGTTTTCATGTTTAAGCTTATTTCCACATTCATTGGCCAAAATCCAAAATTCTTTTCATGCATGTGTTGAAGAAGGATGTTCTGCTTCTCTGACGCGACCATAGCCCGTGAGAAACAAACTTAAAATCTATTCCATTTAAGGTGGTCCTAAGTTGAAAACAGTGTTAGTCGTGACGTAATTACCGGAAAGGCCTATTCCGGTGCAGCGCTCTGAGCTACAGAGACCAGTTGTCGAGCTCTAACCACAAGTTCATTATTGCATGAACTTTAATTAAAGGTAGTCATATGTTGGTAACCTAAGCAAAGCTATAGTGTCCTGTTCGGGCTTATCCAGTTTGTGCTCTTTTGTTTATTTTCCCTGTATGTTAGTCTTAAATTTTTTATATTTATTCTGTAAGTATATTAGTTCCTAAAAAAATCCAATAAAGTTCCTAAGAAAACACAAAACCAAAACAAACCCTGCATTAACCACAGACGGTGTATTTAACCAGTATCTGTTCTGACTGGTCACTTTGTGGCTCACCGCAGCCATTGTTCTCCGGTCATGAAAAGGCACATCCCAACCAAGACGTTGGCACCTTTTGTTTTTGCGTAACCAATTTGCATCAATTGATCACGAGCAATTAACACAATAGAAATTGCAATTCAATACGTCTGACTCTTGTTTTGACATCGGTGATAAATTTCCACAAATCAATTTTCGCGGATTATTGGTCCCATTGACCATCACATGTCACCTGATACGTCGCAACTATAATTTGACCATAAATAAAAGTTTAAAATGTTGGTTTGAATATAAAGTGAATGTATACGATCATGCAAAGTCTGCAGTCACTCAGACTCCCAGAGAGATGTTGCTTTGAAAATATTTTGAGAGTAAAAATGAGACATTGTGACACATATATGTCTTTTTCAGTGTGAATATCCCAAACGATCTTGATTTTGGTTAGTTATCTGTTTCAGTCAGTGCCACGCTTTTTATAAAACTGGCCCCAGGTCATGACGTCAGTTGTTTTTATCTTCAGGTAGTGATAGAAAGCAATAAAAAAATTCCCTCATATATTGCCTCATACGACATATATGCTTCATGTGCCTGCTTTATCAATAAGCTCACGCTGGTTTCTATTGGCTTGGATGCGCGCTGATGCTTGCATTTTCTTGTAACACGATGGCTTGTTTTCACGGAAGATTTCATGATAAAAACGCCGGAAATAGCAATGACAGCAATAGATCCTAGTGATAGTGAGAAATTCTGACCACCATGTCGTGCCTGCTTTGTCAGTAAGCTGACGCTGGTTTATAATGCCAAATAAAACGTATTCACTTTATAATTGGTTGTTTTACTGGCTTGCATGCTTATACTGATGCTTACGTTTTCTTGTAATACGATGGCTTGTTTTCACGGAAGATTTAATGATAAAAAAACGCCGGAAATAGCAATAGATCCTATCTTATCATAGAAAAGATAAGAGATTCTTAGAATTGCAACCATGCAGTCTAAAGACGCATGACCCCGTATGGTTAAACATGTTCACCATCAGTATAATGTATGGTTTTCATTAATTAAGATAGGAACTTTTTAAAGTTAACCATCCTGAGCAAATTACCTCCAGGTATACCTGTGGCTATACCCGGTTAATCCGTTTACCAGACTGCTATTACATCAAAAACCATCACCGACGTATAATTTATACCTCCTGGCAGTTTCAATAACAAAATCCGGATCTCTCCTGCTATTCTATCATCGTTTGGTTTAAGTAAATATAATAGCATTTCAAGAAAACGGAAAATTTCTTCGAACACTCCAACACTACTGAATGTGTCTGTATCCTGTGTCAAATCTAGGTAGTATTTTGGAATTTCGCGCTGAATATGCAAATGAGCGGGTAAAAACATGACATAATTGACATTGATTATTTAAAGGAACACTGAACCTTGGATAGAAAGATTTTATTAAAAATACTAGCATTAGAGCTGTAGTCCTGAATTGCGCTACTATAACAAGCGCAATTTGAAATACATATTAAAATATCAATTTAACTTTGTACAGAACTATTATATTTTTTAAGATGGCGGCTAAGAATCAGGCAGATCAAACGAGGATGAGAGTTGATGAAAGTTGATGGCGGCTAAGATTCTAAGAATCAGGCAGATCAAACGAGGACGGAGAGTTGATGAAAATTGGCTGTTACGCATTGTTACAGGGAACATTTCAAGCTCTAGATTGACAAAATAAAGCTTTCATGAGTGTTCCAACTATGTTTAAATTTAAATAACATACATGGTAGGTGCTTGTGTGATGTTACTCTGAGTGTATACCCACACCGGGCAGGCTTGAAAAATCTGCCTGGCCACGGTGGGATTCAAACCTACGACCTTTGGAATACTAGCCCAATGCTCTGCCAACTGAGCTACGCGGTCAGGTCGGTTCGAGTATGCGATATTTCGGAACTGAGTCTAGTTCCTTCGATATCAGTGTAATCTAATAATCATGATATTTGCTGTGTTGGTGTAATGTACTCAGATGCTTGCGTGATGTTACTCTGAATGTATATTCACACCGGCTTGAAAAAGGTCGTAGGTTCGAATCCCACCGTGGCCAGGCATATTTTTCAAGCCTGCCCGGTGTGGGTATACACTCAGAGTAACATCACACAAGCATCTTATTCACCTGAGTACATTACACCAACACAGCAAATATCGCGTGATTGCCAATTACTCTCATGCACACTCATCTCGTCAATGAGGTCAGGCTTCAATAATAGAGTGTATAAGACACCAAAAATTACAACTTTTTTTAATTGCTAACCTAATTGCTAACCTAATTGCTAAACAAATCTCAGCACGTTGCAAAAACAATGGATTAGGACAAGTACATAGTCAGTGACGTAGCTAGCCAGAGGGGCGCCGGGGACCGCCCCTCCCCCTGGCAAAATATTGGGCCCCCTTGAACTGAAATTATGTGTAAATATTGGTTATCGTTCCATGTTTCGTGCACCAATATAATTTAGGGTTAGGGGTTAGGTATTAGGGTTAGGTTAGGTGTATGGAGGTATCCATACACCTAACGTGTATGGAGGTATCCAGTTAACTTTTCAGTACACTATAATATCCATTACATAACGTTTACTATATTGGTGCGCGAAACATGGAACGATTACCTAAATTTTATATCTTCCTATGTTTTAAATGTTCTGGATTCGTTTGTGATTATAAAGTAGAGTTGTTATGTGTTAAATGGTTATTGAAAATCACCAAAACGCATTACAAGAGCCCCCAAAATGCTGAAAATGACACTTTACCGACTCTAGAATTTAATAATTTTCCTGGGAGAGCACACCTCCGCCCCACCCCCGGTGGCGTGGGAGTCGAATACATTTTCACATACGTATAATTAATTAAGTGTCTAATCCTTTTCAAAATAGAATAATCCTCTAAATATGAAGTGAGCATATCGAGGATTATATACTACATACGTCATTTTCACTGATAATAAAATATAACTTGCGAAAATTGATTTAAATGATAAAAAAAATTTTTTTAAAGAATTTTTTGTGAGAACACTATCATTGAAAGATGTGTGGACGGATGATCGGTCTTTCGTCTTCGCATGGAGCTGGGCTGGCCCGGTTAACCGCAAAGCTCTTATACGGCTTTCAGTAAACACCCAAAATGACATTCCAAAGTTTAATTAGCTTAGTTTGATTTCAATAACAACCCGTTATAAAGTTCACTCAAACTATCTTTTATGGCCAGGAAAAAAAAATGGTGACATTCCGGATAGCCCGGCTCTCTATTCTTTATAATAAATAACACAGCATAAACATATATAGCGTATTTACACAGCAGAAATAGCATCGTCTTGTCAGGTTACATCCTCTCTTCATTCTTGTCATTCCACTAAACTATCAAGTTTAATAGATAAAAATCCCCTATACTGATAGGTCTGATAGCTACGATCATTTCTGTTAAATGTGGATACGATCAAATGCGCTTTACATCAAGTATTACGCTTCTCTAATTACATACTTACAGTCTAGACATGATATTGTACACTAAGTCTAACTGTCTAATACACTTTCTTAACTGTATTTAACCTAACCCGCTCTGTCAACTTTCCCTAGCCTGTGGGAGGAAACTGGAGCACCGGCCGGAATAAACCCACGACTTTCGACTGATGTGAAAAGAGTCAGTCAAAACCTCTAGCTTATGCTGTTTTACATCAACAAATCTGAAAATAAAGTATTTACAAGAAGTGGCCGACCTTCCAGAAACCATAAGGCTTTTATTTAGGACCCTTAGAGGCTGTTTATATGGTCCCGCTTACCCGGGATTCAATGAAGTGTGACGTATTTTGAGCAATTGAAATAAGTCGCACTTCATGATCTAACAAAATTGCTTGTCACAGATTGTATGAAATTCCATGTTTTAGGCAACAAAAAACAAATGTTAAATGCTATTCTTCCACTACATAACTTCGAGCGCGTTCCTAATTTCGTTCAAACAATATTTAAAGTGATCTAACTTTTGTTTAGGGCTGAAACACGTATTTCAATTGCTCAAAATACGTCACACTTCATTGAATCCCGGGTAAGCGGGACCATATAAACAGCCCCTTAGATTGTCAGTTTACAAGAATATATAGTGCCAGTTCAAGTACGCGCTTTTTAAGAATGATAGAAAGAATAGATGAATTGCCGGTTCGTAGACCC